CACTAATAATGAACAATTATATAGGAATGACAATGGGGCCGGTTTGAGGCAGGACACCCCATCCTTGTCCTCGCCCCGTAGTCAAGACACTCTACCCCATCCCACCTCACCCCTAGTGTCAGGTGGGTTCAAGGCAAGGCTCCCACTCCTTGTTAGGGATGAAGAATCCTCAAATTCTTTTCTCATCCTCAATGTTGGGTGAGCTCAAGGCAAGGCACCCACTCCTCATCAAGGATAGGGAATCCTTGAATTTTCCCTGCCTCGTCCTCAATGTCGGGTGAGCTCAAGGCAAGGCACCCACTCCCCATCAAGGATGGGGAATCTTCGAATTTTCCCCGCCTCGTCCTCAATGTTGGGTGAGCTCAAGGGAAGGCACCCACTCCTCATCAATGATTGGGAATCCTTGAATTTTTCCTGCCTCGTCCCTAGTGTCGGGTGGGTTCAAGGCAAGGCATCCACTCCCCGTCAACCCAATATTCAATTTGATGACAAAAATGATCAAAAGGATATATTGAGTATCAGCCGTACCACATGGTAAATTTCTAAAAGTACACTAAAGTGTCTTTAATTTTCAAAAATGTAATTTTATGAAAAAATTGGAAATTTCATTACATTTGTGTAATTTTGAAAATTTATTCAATTTTTTAAATTGTTATTAAATAATTTATTTTCTCTTTAAATGGTTTACTTACAGAGTTACACTTATTTATCTTATATTTTCTGATATAAAGTAATCAGTAATCTCCTTTTTTCAAATTACATTTTTCCCTTTCCCATACTCATTTATCTTCAATAATTTTCAATAATTTACAATGAAAGTAACATAATTTTTCAATAGTTTTCCTAAATCTATCAAATGTAATAAATTTTCCTAAAATTTTCAAAATATTCCAATAATTATTTAATACATTTTAAATTAACTTTCAAAAGTTTTATATCTTTTAATTTCCAAAATGCTATTTTACAAAAATGTAGTTTTGTGAAAATTTTTGAAAAGTTTATTACATTTTTGTAATTATGGAGATTTATTGAAAATTATTTTAAATTATTATTAAATATTTATTTTTTATTAGGTAGTTTACTAACAAAATTAAACTAATTTATCTTTTATTTTCTAATATAAATTAATAATTTCATTTGTCAACACCATATTTTATTCCCCCATCTGCATTCGGTTATTAACTATAATAATAACAATAACTAAAATTTTATACTTTTTGATAATTGTTAAATATCATTCTCAATTTTATAGAAATTAGTTAAAGAGTTTTCAATTTCTATAAAATGTTAATTAACAATGAATATAATAGTATTCACCCAAAATACTTTATAAAAAGTCATTATGAGTTAATTAATAACAATATTTATTAATTTTTGGTAATTTACTAACCATTCTAATAAGAATATTTAATTTTTGATAATTTACTAACTTCATTTATTAACTTTTGGTAATAATACTCTTAATATGTATATTTTAAATGAAAGAGAGTGGATATGGATTGGGGGAAGAGATTTTAGGAATTGATTGAGGAGTGGGGTAAGGCTTAGAAAAGATACTTTAGGAGAGAGATTTTAGGAATATTTTTAAGTAATTGGGTTGGATCGTCTTATATATAAAACAAGCCATGGGTGGCACAGCCCATTCGATCGTGTCGTATCGTACTATATCAAATCATAAATGTAAAACCCCAAGCCCAACACAGTCTATATGATAGTGCCATACTTGACACGGCCCACAATCCATCGTGCTTTGCGGGCCGGTTCAAAATCGTGTCCGTCCGGATTTACACTTCTACTTTCACTCTTATAGTCAACACTCAATCGGGAAAATGTATGATACCAACAACAAGGCAAAATAACGTTCTCACCTACCTCTGCCATTTCCTTTTTATTTATTCTGGATAAAGGACAAAAAGACACGTATGCGTCAATATGCGTGGCTCTTTTTTTGATCGCTCCGGGTTAGACCCGGAAATAGTCGGCCCAACCCCAAAAAAGCGGGTTAGGGTTCCCTATAATAGAAGGCGACGTGACCGGATACAACCTAAAATAATTTGAGTCGGAATAGCTCATATCCTTTCTGCACCTGCAATTCCAAACTTTAAGCTATTTGATCTGGGCCTAAAACCCATATTTTTTTGGCGACATGACTCAACACGACCTGAAAATAATTATAGCTCATATCTTTTCCTCCCAAGCCATCATCCAAATAGTTGAATTGTTCAAACCATGGAGTAGGGGTGAGAAAATGGATAGATTCTACCTGTAATCTAATTAACCTTGAACTGACCTTTTTCAATCTATTATAGGATAAAGTACAGTTTCAAGTTATTGGAACTGATTCCCACCAAGTTGGTCGAGGGCCTAGGGAGTTTACCCTACTTGAATCGACTCGTTGAATTGGCCTTAGTTAGCTTTAGTAGAACTGGCCTTAAAACCGAACTTATTTTGAAATAAACTCCAAAATATTTTTGAGGATATATAGATTTGAACCCAAACACTCATAATTACAAAGGCCATGATATCACTTGACTATAGAATTATTTATGTGATTTGATCATTTGTTTACATTTTAATATTTGAATGTGTATAGTAATGTAAAAGGTAACATAGTTATTTACAAAATTTAAGTTAGAATGATAAGGTTTGAACCGTATATTAATATATTATAGTAACCTACATATTAAATTACCTAATTTAATCAATAAAGA